TGGCTTTGTTTAAGGGCAGCAAATCGCAAACAACTGCACTGACCTCAGAATTGCAGATCGTATCAGGATTGGGTGTGGCTGAAACAGATGCAGCGCAATATCAAAGGATTCAGCGTGTCCGCACGAAAAGGGCCACATCCTTTGTTGAACGACCTCTGACTATTCCACATCTGATCATATCAGCGATCATGCTTGGTCCTGTTGAAGGCATTTTGTCGGGGCCTAAGAGAGTCTATCATTGCAAATATATTTCATTGCAAATCCAAGTGGATATCCAAGTGGATAGCCATGGGCCATAGCAGTTGGTTTCCACCAACGCCTAGGTTCCACCTGTTCCGCGAACAGAAGAGCCGGTCTTGGTTGAATGGAGAAACACCGGAGCTGCTTCCAGCAGTTTGCTTTGCTTCCATGACAAGGCAAGTACTTTAGTCTTTAGTGTTTCAAGAAATTGTTCAGGACAGCAGCTTCTATGGCTTGGAATATATATCAAAGTACTCGGAAACAATAGTAGATAGATCGGAAACTTGAGGTCTCCAGCCATTCAGGCTATTGGCCAATACATGGCCATGGCCACTGGGCCTCAAATACCATGCATGGCAGGCGCTTGTCACTGTGTTGTGGAGTCATTGGAGCCATTGGAGTCATTGCCAGACTTTGACGAGATCTCTGTGCACCTTGCGTTCTTCACACTCCATTCAATTGTTGGACACTTGTGGCATAGGGTGGTTCTTCCTTTTCAGGCCAGGCGCTCATGCACTCAGTTAGACTTTGACGTTGGAGCATAGTGTAGCTGCAGCATAGTGGGAAGGCTTGGCCTCATCGCCTTTCGACTATTCTAGATCCCAACACTGTGGATCCATTGTCGGTGGCCAAAGAGTTCTGTGAAGCTTCTTTATGCTGTCTTGATCCATCATTTTCGCGTCGTTTGCGGGCATTTATGCAGGCTTGAATTGATGTGTTGGTGTCAATGTTTTGTTTTCTTGTGGTGGTGCTGGACTGCCGGGTGGCTTTAGGGTAGGTTGGAGTGCTGCGATCAGGATCATCAGTTGTCTCCGCAAGAGCTTCTAGAAGGTGGTCAGTTGCATGATGCTGTGTGAATCTCAGGCAGTGTGTTTGACAAAGTCAAACAGTCAACTAACTCGTTTCTCTCTACTATTTTTTCTTGAGGTCAAGATTACATCGATGCGGAAACTATCCAATTGTGAGGTGGAATGTAATTTTGCAAGAGCAGCATGCCAAAGGTTGTGCATTCCTTAGGTTTCAAGTTGTTTTTGAGATATTTTCAATTGACAACTTTGAACTGTTTAGTGTAGTGTATGATCGCCTTGCCCAAGGGTATGCAGAGGAAATTCACATGGTCAGGAAGCAGTTGTTCTCTGGACTCAGCTTTATTTTGCATTTGCGAGTTCAGTTTCATATCATTTTTGCTTATATATAATTTACATATGCAGCTACTATTCAAGTACGACAAGCTGTGTGGTTGAGGTTGCTAAATTCATCTTGACTGAAATCCAGCGTGAACACCGCTACGAGTGCTTGGAATCACTGGAGAAGAAACGATCTGCATCTGAAATGCAACTCATCGATGGATCAGGCTAGGATGGATTTCTCTTGGTATCTTAGTGACTAGTAAACTCTCATTTATGTTAGCTTTTCTATTTTTGTGGGTTGCGCAGGAAAATCAACGGTTCGCTCCTACAATGGTTTTACCTGGTTTGTATCCAAGAAGCTGAAGGAACGTGTTGGGGACTTAGTTCAGATGCTACCTGCTCACATTTGCTTCATTCTCACGAAGATATTGAGTGTATATGACTTGTGTTAGGTCATTCTTCCTGGAGAATCTAATAATACATCCAGACTACGTGCATGGCGAGAAGCTTCCATCGAGTGGAGAACACATGAATGCGATCGGGAGGACCAATGTTTCAGTTGTATATTCTCTTAGCTTTCAAGAAGTCCTTGATATGTTTCTAATTGATTAGTTGTTTATAATTTATGTATCATAGTCTCAAGTCTCATGGTATAAATAAATCATTGTCTGAGGACCATTCCAGCGAGGCACTGCTGATGAACCGGGATTCACGCATGAAAGCAAACCTGCTCGCCCAAATGCAAGCTGACCGAGATGAGCAAGTCATTCCGTTGATTTCTCCCAACAACAAGCTATCGTTGGCTTCATTGGGAGATGAACACTACGCAATTTCAGAGAACGAAGTTGATGCTGTGAGGGCATCCCACAAGGGCAACTGGATGAACGATAGTCACTTAGCCTTCCAATCAGAACACCGTCATATCATTGAGCACGAGGGTCCTGAAGATGATGAAGCAGACATTGACAAGTCGCATTGTCAATGTATACTGGGGCCTGGGCTTTGCAAGATGCAAACGGGTAGTATGCTGTACATCAAACTGATGGAAGATGCCAAAAATGCATTGAGACTTGCTCGTTCATTTCGGCGGAGTAAGGGATTCGTGCCTGAGCATGTTCCCTTGCTACTGGTTCAGTCTCTCGAGAATGAAGAAGATGTTCTTCTGGAAATCTATTTGCTCACCAGACTATCATTCTCTCCTCTTGATGCCACAGCAACAACATGGCACTGGACTTCACGCCAAACCGGCATTGCTCGCTTGACATTGGTTGATGAGATGCCTGAATTTCATACATTGAGTTGCCTGATCTACAAGATCGCAAGTTCTCATGAGCATAAAGATCAGCCTGTGCGGTTCAAGACTGCTACATACAGTGCTTTGTCCTTGTGTGAAATTCAGGTTTCAAATCATCAGTCATTGGACTCATTTTCTCCGGCTCCTCAAGTCAATGATGAGCCAGAGTCCAGCAGTGACGATGACTTGAAGTCACGCCTTCAGTTGATACGTCGTGCTGCCGGAAAGGAACTGCCTAGAGCCAGAGGAAGGGGTCGAGGGAAGAGCAGCGCAAGCAGAGGGGCAACAACAGCAACGTTGCAGAGATCTACAACCAAGACCAAGACTCAGACTCAAACTCAGACTGCTGTTGCAGCAGATGAGCGGATTCACACTGAACTCATGCAGGATTGGAGCAATGCGCTTGCTGACCATTTGGGGCCCATGTCAGTGGAGTCCAAGGATGCAACTGCGACCAGTTCCACTCAAGCTTCTTCGTCTCTCAAGGGTTCATGCCCTATTCCTGTCGTATCCTATACACATCCTTGGAGAGATGCAAATGGATACTGCTGGGTCTTCAATGAGAAATCTTCGAAGCCATATCCTTTGGGTAGGGAGCTCAATATATCATAGCATATTCAATGAAGATTGGTTCATATAGAATTTCCTGAGGTCGAATCACTGAGATACGAGCTGGTCAACCAGGCCATTCCGTTTCAGTTCGTTGCGGACACTTGTCAAAACCTTCAAGAATAGCTACATACAAAATCAGTGGTTGTTGTTGCTGTCAAACTATATGACTATATGTTATGACTATGTGACTATATGTTTGTCTGGCTGAATCTTGTTTCGGCTGAGGGCTGCACCGGAATTGTGTTGCATTGATTTCAGCGAAGAAGCTACAGGACAACTCAGAACAATCCATTTTAGCATGGATGGAAGCAGGCAGAAACATTCCAGACAGAGATGATGCACATGCTCACAAGTCACAGTAGCTGGCCATAATTTGTTTTAGTGCTGATTGATCAGCTGTCGGCTGTTGTATGCCTTTTGTTGTTACACACACAACTATGAACTACGGTGTTATACGCTGATGCTGAGGCTCAAAGCCTTCATAGGTACTAGCTGAGTGGATGCTACGTGGATGCTGAATGGTTTTTTATTTGTGTATGCATGGAATTTATGTATTTTAGGTCAGGCAGATTGATTGCCTGTCAGCAAATGTTTGCTGAATGAAGTGCAAATATTGCAATTCATTGAAGTCGGGCTTCACCAACCAACGGGGAACGTTAAAGATGAAAATTATTGACTCTTGTTGACTTGAAACACTGCCGGTTGTTTCCATCAGATGTTTTGTTTCCTAATGATCTTATTGATCTTATCCTAATCGAGCCGAGTCTCTGAATCCTTTTGTCAAGGAACTCCTCACAGCTGGAAACTCTGCTTAGTTTATGTAAAGACGAACTGAACATGGATCTTGTTGTGTTTGTCTAAAGTTGTATTTGCTGCTTTCTCGGTATGGCTCAATCCGATAGCAACATCAGTGGGAAGAAGAGGTTCAGACTATTTCCTTGACCACACTCTCTTCCTGCCTACTTAGCTCAACCTATCCATTGCTGGAGTGATTTGACTTTGCTGGACAGCGATGCCACGTTCTCTGGCTGGAAAGTCTACAGTGGGTGTACCAAGCAAGCCAGAAGGTCTTGCCGAAGCTCCCGCGCCTCCAGCGGACATTGACTTGCCACATGACTATTGCCCCAAGAAGTGTCGGAGGTGCGGTGTTTGGTCTACAGAGCCTGCTCCCTATGACCAATCCAAATCCCAAGAGCATCAATGGAAGACTATGGTGGCATGGGAAGCTGGATGTTTGCGGTGTCCTCTTGGTCTTCATTGTCTTATCTACCGTAAGGCCAGGATTGAACACACATTCTGTTGATGTTGCTTCAATGATTGTTATGATTGGTAGCTAGTTTGATGGTTTGTTCAACATCTGCATGCAAAGCAATATGCATGTACTCACCATGTATCAGCGCTCACACCATCTACCTGTACCCATGTACCCATGTACCCCATGTACCTGTACCCATGTACACAGATATGGATACACTCAGGCAGAGTACATAGGTGCAGGTACATAGGTGCAGGTACACGGGTACAGGTACATGGGTACGGGTACATGGGTACGGGTACATGGGTACAGGTACATGGGTACAGGTACATGGGTACAGGTAC